AATACTCTGTGGACTGACGAGACAAAAGTTGACCTTTTTGGAAGGTGTGTGTCCCATTACGTCTGGCTTAAAAGTAACACTGCATTTCAGAAAAAGAGCATCATACCAACAGTAAAATATGGTGGTGGTGGTAGTGTGATGGTCTGGGGCTGTTGATAAATGGAACCATGAATTCTGCTGTTTACCAAAACATCCTGAAGGAGAATGTCCGGCCATCTGTTCGTGACCTCAAGCTGAAGCGAACTTGGGTTCTGCAGCAGGACAATGATCCAAAACACACCAGCAAGTCCACCTCTGAATGGCTGAAGAAAAACAAAATGAAGACTTTGGAGTGGCCTAGTCAAAGTCCTGACCTGAATCCTATTGAGATGCTGTGGCATGACCTTAAAAAGGCGGTTCATGCTCGAAAACCCTCCAATGTGGCTGAATTACAACAATTCTACATAGATGAGTGGACCAAAATTCCTCCACAGCGCTGTAACAGACTCTTTGCAAGTTATCGCAAACGCTTGATTGCAGTTGTTGCTGCTAAGGGTGGCCCAACCAGTTATTAGGTTTAGGGGGCAAACACTTTTTCACACAGGGCCATGTAGTTTTGGATTTTGTTTTCCCTTAATAATAAAGACCTTCATTTAAAAACTGCATGTTGTGTTCACTTGTGTTATCTTTTACTAATATTTAAATTTGTTTGATGATCTGAAACATTAAAGTGTGACAAACATGCAAAAAAATAAGAAATCAGGAAGGGGGCCAACACTTTTTCACACCACTGTAAATAATACCAAAAAGAACACTGAAGTAGTTCACTTCCATTGTAAGTGTCTCACTGTAACCCAGATTTTTTTTTTTTTTAAGAAAAAAAGAGAATTAATTTTTGTACTATCAGCTTTTCAGGGCTGGTTCACACTGATCCAACAAACACAGAATTAGTGCAGTGTAAAATAGACATCAGACAGGATAAAGCCGTCTGGGAAACATGTAAAGCTACCAATCACACTTTGTTTTCTTTTACATGACATTTAAGAACAAAATAATCTGAAATCAGATACAACACTGTAGCAGCCTGGGAACTTATAAACACGAGACTGTTTCCCAGTGGACTGATAAAATCCTGTGCACCCTGACTTATAGGGCCCTATCCAAAACGGCCCATTTATATGGACTTGCAATCTTATGACTTTCACTTAAACATTTCTGTGATGTCCATAAGTCACATTTGTCATTTTATGATTATGAAGGGTCCTCATGAGCGCCCCCTTTGTGGCCACACTGGTGCAGATTTCACCACATTATCGACTGCTATCACCTCTGTGGAATCACTTCACCAAAATGTGGAGGTGGAGTGCAATGGCTGAGGGTGTCCATTGCTGTTTGCATCCTAAACATTATGCAAGAACAGAATTAGTACTTCTGAAATCACTAGTATGCAAAGGGTACCTGGATGATAGGCTATTTGTGTGCAACCATGCATGCCTTTTGGGTAATATTGCCTACAATCCCCTACCAAGATGACCATCAAGTGGACTGCCTTAAAGGGAATTTGGTCTTACTGCTTAAAACAGAGGTGAATTGGGATGAATCAAAGATCAGAGGTGGTTCATATGGCATTTATGCCACATGTTAATGTAAGAGGAGCCGTAATAAGGTCTTTTGTGATTGGTCATGCTAGAGATGTACTGCAGGGATTGGCTGGTACCTGTCTAGGTGGTGGTACTCCAGTGACGATTGGTGGCGTATTTAGGAGGCGGCTTCAGGGCCCTGTGGAGTCTCTCAGCGGGACAAGCACCTGCAAACAGATCAGACCAAAGAAACACTTCTGTTAGCTTCCAAATATATACATAATTAAAGCTGTTACTGATGAAGAAACTATCTGTATAAATGTGCGAGGAAGAACACATGGGAGTATGTGTTACTAACACACAGAATGAGCTCATTAGCTCTTTAATGAGATCACAACCTAGGCAATCAGCATTGAACTATGTATGACACACACACACCTGGACAAACCACAGAGACATGCCTTTATTATAGCACACACATTAGCGTTGAATGGTACACCTATCGAATACAAAAACCATAATTCTCTTGCTTTGCCTATACACAGTCAGTATGTCCATCATAGGCATGCTATTTAAAAATGAATGCTTATCCTGCTTGAATTTTCAGCTCCAGTTTTCATTGTCACATGATCCTTCCATGCTAATTTTCTGCTTAAGAAACCTTTCTTATTATCGGTGTTGAAAATGTACTGCTTTATAAAACTCAAACTAATAGTTAATACAAATAAAAATGTGTTATTTAACCCAATATCTGTTATTTTACCTAATATTCAAAACCAGTCACATTTAAATTTCTATCATGACAACAAGGTTTAGCATGATAATGTACATGACAATGTTAATGTGTTTGGTCTTGGTGGAACAGATCTGCTACGCTGCTGCGGCAGAGCAAGTACCGAGACTTTCTACTGCCAATACATCCACAACATGCTGCTGTGAGCATGTAACATAACCCCCATATACAGTATAGGATACATTAATCACCCTGCAGCAAATCTATACAGGTGGAGCTGGGGAAGGTGGAGGGTTTCTGAAGCGCACTGCAACTGCTCCAGCAAGCACTAGCCAAGTATTTGAATGTTGAGCAGCAAACTTATTGGCTGCTGATACAAAAAGAACCAATCAGCTGCGCCATGTGATCATGTCATTATGTCAGATTGAGTTAGACATATGGACTGCGTCATCTAGAGTTTCATGACAGAACTTTTGATTTAATATGATGCCTTAGTAAAAAATTGCCTTTATAGAACATAAACAGTTCCATAGGTTTTGAAACAGCATTTATCTCCTTCACACACTCCATGGCCATAAAGAAAGCCTGACATAGATTTTCAGTGCATCATTCTGTATGCCATTCGTGGGCATACACAAGTCTCTGATGGAGGCACAAGAGAACATCTCCACAGGCCTGAACTAAATAAAGAGCTCCAGTTATCAGCGTTTGACAGCGGCTCTGACACAACAGTCACCTCTGCTTAACTCCATTCACAGCTGCTTCAACACGTCTTTATTATGGAGCATAATGTACTTATGACTGCAGCTTTGGTTCCAGATAAACCTGTACAACTCCATATTCCCATTGGCTTTTGAGACTGTTTGTGTGAGTGATAGAGTTATAAAGAGTGTCTACAGTAATAAGTAGCCTAGAAAAGCTTGAAGAGAAAAGATGGATATACTAACCAGTGTACTGGTGTCCATTTACCCAATAAAACAGCACTGTAGTGGTGCAATGATGGCATCAGTCTAGGGTTGCATGGATGGATGAAGGATACGTTTTTTGGAATTATGCATAGACTGTTTTAGGCCGTTTTAAGTTGTAAAGTGACCATTTTAAGTTGAAACACTGTAATAATGGATTTCTTTCTTTAAAACACAGATATTTTCACTTCACAAGACATTAATTGATGGACTGGAGACGTGATGTTTTTATCAGCTGTTTGGACTCTCATACAGCACTCATTCATTGCAGACGATCCATTGGTGAGCAAGTGACGTAATGCAAAATTTCTCCAAATCTGTCCCGTTGAAGAAATAAACCCATCTACAACTTGGATTGTTGGATGTGAGTACAGTCTCAGCTAATTTTCATTTTTGGGTGAACTATTCTTTTAAAATTGTATGCTGTTTTTAAATAAAAACACTAAAAATCAACCATTTAAAATGCAACAAGTGAATTTAGGCATCACAACATTATAATGTATGATATGAAAAAAAAAGAATATTTATTTTGAGATTTCCTAAAGATTGCTTTTAACAATGTTATTAATTTGATTTAGTGTTAAATAATGTTAATGCTGGGAAGTGCATGTAAAAATGTTTAATAACTTAGCAAAATAATACAAATAGCAGGTCTAAATGTACCCCTATTTATCCGTCTATCTACAGTATGTATCCTGTTCTGGTGGGTCAGAGCAACAAAGTTCTGACTTTCTGCTTGCGCTTCAGGGGATATGAGGTGGAAAATGCCACGTTTTCCTCTCTGCCACCAGATAATATGCAGACGCTCCACACAGTGACTCACACTGCATGAGCATGAGTGCCGTTCATGGCATGTTCACATTGAGAACTCCAATGAGACAAGTAATTTCACCCTCACAGGCACAGAGAGCCCCACACGGGTCCCAGAACCAGCAAACTGACATACTGCTGCAGCAGATGGGATTTAATGCATCCCTAACACACACCAACACACACAAGTAAACAACTGTCATGCATACAAACTGAAAACATGAGTACATAACAAAAAAAGTACTTTGTTCCACACAGTAATGGCAACTAAACTGAGAAAGTTTTTTTTTTTGCATTTTTTATGTATATTATTTATTTATTTATTATTTATATACATATATATTTTTTTACATTAAAAACATTAAATATAATGTGTGTGTGTGTGTGTGTTAAATAAGTAATATTAAATAAATGACAAAAATATATAATGTACGCATGTGTGCATGTATATATGAGTGTGTGCATACTTCAGAAAAATTATTTTATACAACACTGTAATGGTGGCTACATTGAAAAAATGTAATGTATTTTGTATTATTATATCTATTTTTTATTTAATTTAAATTTTTTAATTATTAATTTTTTTTAATTAAAGATTTTTAATGTCTGTTTCAGTTAGTTCTGTTTCTTCATGTCATTCCAGACAGACTGGATGATGATGAGATGATGATGTGGAGCACTGGCTGTTGTCAGACTCCTTGTGCAAACACAAATCTCACTGAATTATTACAATTAATGGCAAAATGAATGTTTGGAAATGTAAACTGATATGTCCTACTGACACACTACAGCAAAATATATAACTGACTTAAAACCATTTTTTAGCTGATGAAAATACTAGTGTTCTCATCATTTTGGAAACCACTGTATAACAAAATATTTAGTTTATATTATTTTAGATAAAATTATTATTATTATTATTTGCAGTGCATGTATTACATTGCAGATCCTTTGTAATATTACTGGTCTCTTTAATTTACTCGCCAAATCCAATTCTTACTGGTATTGGTACTAGGTGAGTGTTAATTTTGGACCCTGCATACTAAGCAGTGAAGGCAGGGGAGGACAGCGAGCAGGAGGAGGGTGGGCCCAGTGTTGTCTGGAAAAGATCTGCATTAACCGCAGGCTCTGGTGTGGCCATCGCGCTTTCTTTTCAGGATGTCATTATGTGATTTTCAGAGCAAGCACTGTCTAAATTAGCCCTGTGCCTCCCTCGACTAAACTCAGTGACTACACAACCCAAAAAGAGAAAGAGAGAAAAAAAGAACTGCATTAACTTGGAGAAATTCCAAATTAAGCACATTATTCAAAAACCTGAAAAAGGCAGAAGCCAGAGTGAAAAATAGATGGAGCAGAGCTGCTTTATGGCTGAATGTTCAGAGCAGATCTGCACGTTTAAAGCAGGAAGACTGGCAGATGGCATAAATATGCTTCTGCTGAACTGCTATCTCACCCCATGAACACGACACGTCCAACAGACGTTCTTTATGCAGTCCAGAACATGCATTTCATTATGTTCTCTCTTACTGCTCTTCAACTTTATTTGTCAGAAGGGAGTTGGCGGTTTGGATTCCATGAAACCACAATAGTTTAGTCAAAAATGGCATTATAGAAGAGTGTAGTCTCTGAAGACACCCAACAGCTTTGAGATAATAACTTCCTGATCTAGTGCTCATCTGCTTGTCATCTTCCTGACTGAGAGACTGAGAGGAACATGTTCAGAGAAAATGTCTAGAAACAAAAATCAAACCTGATAGAGCGGGTCTCCCTCCATTATTCGCTCTCATTTATAATTCAGTTCAGCCCTTGCTAGGAGAAAAAACACTTCCAGCACATACCTGGTGCATTTTGAAATTTATTTATGCCGTAAAGTCAACATGAAATCCAGTTCAAAAACAGATGATAAATTATCTCAATCAAAAAAATCAAAAAGTGCCTTGCACGTCTCCAGTCCATCAGTTAGGACTGGAGCAGATGTAGACAAGAATGACTCCTAAGCGATTGAGGTGTTCTGTTGTTGGATGTAATAATGAACATAGCAGTCATCATTTACTCCAGACATCTGAGCCGCTGAACTCGCAGTGGATTACATTGTTTCTGAAGGGAATGCGCCCCCGATCTACATAAATGCGTCTATGTATTAAAAATAACAAAAAAATAAATAAAAATAAGGATCCAATTAGGACTAGTTTTTCATTGTGAAGATTACATTGTATTCTTAAACATACTTTAAAAGACCTCACTGCATCAGAAAATTGCAATCATAATAAAGATATCACTAAACCAATATTAAATTGGTATTGCCTTATTATTTTTCTCAAAGTCAGTCATCTTATTTCACCGTCTTGTAAAGATACTAATAAAAATGACAAATCTCATTTGATGTACTTTGGATTTATCTTTCATTATATTGTAATATTATCTGAGCTATGGGCTTTCCTAATATCTAAATTATGAGATTGTCAAGATGCCTGTCTCTGTCTGGCAGATGAAGGCTTGGTAATAAGGCCGGAGACAGTTTTCTTCTATTATAGAATAATTATTTGCTAACAAGCGAGGGATAATAAACATCACATTTCTGTGTAGAGTTGTTGATAAATCAAGAGAATGTGGGATTGTTGTCTTAAGAGGCAGATTTCCAACAAATTTACAGTTTATCAGGATTTTTTGTTTTATTTTAGTTTTACCTTTAAAATGTATAGCTGTGATCCTTTAAAGG